CAGATACACATATATACATTCATCATGTTTGTAAGCACACCCACTTGTCGCTGTCATTAAAACTTCGGTAGAATTATAACTAAAACTGTCTATAGCCATAAATGACTACCTTGAACACATCCTGTTAAATAATGTCATACTGCCATATCTAGGGTCACGTGAAGGACAAGCCTGTCAAATGTCTCAATGTTATCGTAGCAACTAACTGACAAAGACTATTTTTAAATTTGAAACGCAAAATTAGTCAATGAACAATAGGTTAGTAATTTTATACAACAAAGTGTGATCATCATTACTGATAGAATTAAATTTTGCATTGTTCAATTCAGTATCGGTAAGACTTTTCCAGGTAGATGTATTCGTGAATAACAGTGGATGGATATTTGTGTGGCACTAAGAATAGTTGGGTTTTAGGAATTCTGTTTAGAAATTAGATAATTTATAAGATAATTATCATTCCGACTAGTTTACTAGGTGTGATTAATGTCACAAATACGACTGACCCAATGTATTCGTTCGGTAGGACGAAGACTGTTGTTCACTTAGTGAGTAATTGCAAGTTATTGAGATACCGCATTAGCTATGCACACGACCAAACCAAATTCATTTCAGACGGTTCCCACTTGTATGGACATTGCGTGATATTCGACATTTCTGATAGACAAGCCGCTAGAATGAAGATTTAATACTGTCAGTGTGTGATCTATAAGTCTCTCCACTTACCTTGGATACCACTTCAGATTCTGTAAGAGTTTGCAGGGTAATATTATGATTCATCTAGTCAGATTGGAGTGGTAAGAGTAGATTAACTTACGCGTTTTCATCAATAGGTCACAGTTATACGAACACGCTACAGTACCAACTCATACTTTTCAGCTGCCATTTTCTCTGCTTTTCAGCCATTAAAGTACATAATTATTTGACTGGAAGTTTGCAGCATTAGTGGACTCCCTTTCTCCTTAGTAAATTATTGCTGTCAATATATAATAGTTAGGGGGGAAATCCTGATGACTATCATACTATAATTACTGTCGTACCTGTTGAATAGTTTAAGACCTTTCTCCACTTCTCATTCACAGTGATACAACGGAGCCACCGAAAAGTGATTTCACATCTTCTGTTATTCCATTAAACCATCTTTGTGCATACCGTTGACAAACATGATGCGATAAGCTGGCCAAATAATGCGATTATGAGTTTGCTTACATTTTTTGATCTATTTAATTCTCACGAATTTTGTATCTTCATTTCTACCTTAGAGAACGTGGACTCTAAATTAAATTGCTGACTAGCTAAGATAGCAAGATTGGTGTGAATGGAATACGTCTTCTTTGATAGACATAATCCATGTTCGAAAATAGCTTAACAGTACTGATCGCATTTGGGAGATTTTGAGGTTACGTACAGAACACTAGGTGAAGAAGGCAAGGAAGTCGATGAGGCCGCAAAACATTTTCGATTAATATGGCTTAGACATGTATCACGAATGCTGAGGCACCGCTAACTACGACATGTAGTGCTAGCCTAAATAGGATAGATTGGAAGAAGGCTGAAGCTGGATATATCAAGATTAAACACCAGCCTGTTAGGTCTCTGACTGCTGGTGACACATGTAAGGAGGTGTGGACCACCTTGCTGAGATCCTAGAAACTATTGGAACCAATGGCTAAAGACTCCCTATAATGTGACTCAGAAACGGTCACAATGGAGCAGAGGTACACACTCTTTGGATTCTTTAGTTCCTTGAATATTTTCTTTGACCTTTAAGCTTTAAAAGTCTCTTTCCTTCCATATGCTTTTACCGGCTTTAACATCTTTCGATCAGGTCTGTCGACTGAGAGATAAGTTGTATGAAACATCATTTTAGTTTCTGTGAATGTTTTGCAGTCTAATAAAGTCATTGCCTACTCAGACTCATTTTTAGAGGCATAGATCGTGTCCCCATAGAGAATACATAAGCAGAATAATTCAATTTCTTTTCAAAAACTTCAAGTCCTACAGTTACATATGCAAATTGAGGAGCTATGCATCAACAATATTTAAATTTCAGGTTGGGATTCATCATGGACTTACATCAGTTGGGAGAACATTGAAAATATGGGAGCAGTGGTCAGCTGCTTCGTCCTAATATGAGACTCCTCGACCCATGACCGCACAGAGGATCGAACGCAGGACCAAGATTTCGTTTATCAGCCTTTTAATAGTATACAGTTGACGGAGTCAATTGAGAAAAGTCATGTGCGAACATTTACGACATAATCATCTGTTACTGGGCTTCAGTTCAAAATAATTGAATATCTAAACGATTATACTGCGTACGTAATGCTAGGAATTTAATTTTCCATGCTAGCGAACACATTCTGGCATAGTTAAGTAAAGGTGTGGTAAAAACCACTACCAGCTCCATATTAACAGACCTGGTTAAAAACAACCATAATGTGGATAGAATGAGTTTTCCATTCTGTACCACGTTCCCGACACCTTGCCAAAAGGTATCCAGCTCATGATGCTTCAAATTGCAGAATCAGTAGTAATCAGGATCAAACAACCAAAGTTGTGCATGCAGAAGAAGTAAGTGTTACCTCTAATACTGCGGTCCAATTCGGGATGCACAAATTCGTTAGCATTCTGCCCTAGATAATCGAATTCCATACTGTAGATACCCCTTCTTCCCTATAATGTGAAATAGCTTTAACACACTCTCTTAACCTATTTTGTCCCTAATATGAGTAACATTTTATCAAGCTATTATTCCTCAAATTATCCTTTTAGTTTGTTTCATTCGACTGTCACAAACACCTTCCTATTGTTTTAGTAAACTATCACCTTATAGCATTACCTAAGCAGAATAATCAGTTAGATAATCAATTACTTTGAATGGAATAATAGTAACAATTTATTCTGTCATAAAAGATAACACACAACTTTTCTCAATTGTATAATATTACAAACAAACTAATAAATGGAATGTCGATATTGCTGATCCATCATTTCTCAATATGTCCATATAACTGTAGAACCTGAGGAGGAAGTTATCAAAAAGAATACTCTTTGTCCACTCAATTAATCTTTGAATAGTAGTGGGGATTTTAAATGAATTCGATTTTTTAGATGGAACACTGATACCGTTAAGATTTATTGAGGGTGTAAAAGCCGTGTAACGCTACGACTTAGTTTGTGTTCAGTTCTGAAGAAATCTAATATCCTGCTGAGTGTAAATCAGAAAGTTTATCTGAAATTTGAGGTGTTTTGTGAAGAACATAACTGTTATTCAAGGAATTCCTTTATCAATTTTTTATAGTGATGTCAGTCTACCTCTCTAATGAATAGTGTTCGATAAGCTAGCAAATGATCTCATATAAGGCTTTTCTGGTTTTACGCACAAAATTTATAGTGACTGTTTACAATATATATAAAGTTATTGAGTAGGGCTTTTTACGGTGATGAAAACACAAAAGCACCTTCAAGTTGGAAGCCACTGGAAGTAGTGCTTAGGTCAGTGACAACGATATCAAAAAGTTATTACTGAAGATTTCAGGCAATATTAATCTGATACCCAAACACACGCCAACACGATTTTGAATAAACTAACTTATAGATGAGGACTTCATATGGGGTTCAGGACTAAACACTACACTAGATACATTGCAAAACATGATATGTGTACATATATGTTTACGGTGATTAATTGTGACTTGCAACAGATAGATAAGCGATTTTAATCACCACGTTTATCTGAGATCAAAGACATATAACAATTGAAACTTCAATGACACCTAGATCCTACCTAAACTGGTGATGAAAACAGTGGGTTCGGAGTCAAACAAGCAACCTTTTCATAACAACTTTTCCTCTTCTGCCTTCATACACATAACCTTTCTGTTAGACTGAGAAGTTTTCTTGACATCTGTTTCAAGATGAACTGGTTTGGAAGAGTAACTTCTAGAGAGTTCTGTGAACATGAAATCGATTAAAAGCCATTTCTGAATCAGATGAAAAGTGAGACAGTTGAAGCGGCTGAATTGAGAGAGATGGAAATGTGATGTATATGAGGAGTATGTGAAAAGGAATTATGATTATCCACAAACTTTTAATGGATAATACTATATTTCTGACCAGACTACATAACTCATTAATCTAACCACCTGGTTCTGATTGCTCAGTGATGACTGACTGATAATTTTTTCTTAAGAGACAATATGAAGATTCATTTCTATCGCAAAAGGAAACGTTTGCTGGAAACGTAAATAGGAATTAATTGTTACATGACAATCTGGTTCAGTGAACCACTTCTTTTTCGTCTGAACACTTCTTGTACTCGAAAATTATACATATTGTATGTGTTTTACAATAAAGTGTTTTAAGCTACTAGGTTGTTTCAGCTTCATTCCTGCAGTGTTTGGGAGTAACAGTGTGTCTTGACTTGCAGTTGTCGCAAGTAATGAACACTTAATAAACTCCTCTGAGCTGCTTTCTAAATCATGAATATACAGCAAGCATATGCTCTGGAATCTAATTTGCAAGCGTGAACCTTCACGAACGAGTCTGTGAAGCTTACGCATTTCACCTGGTTAGAAGATGCCCTATAGTTACCGATGCAGAGGTCTACAATGTTTATGTGCTTATAAGTTAGTGAAGTCTGATTCCAAAGGCCAAGAACAGTGAATAACATATCCATGAATCGGTACCTGTCGTCAAAGAAAAACACCTACATAGCTTGGTATTGACCAGGGTATATGGTGAGTAACACAGCTTTGTAAAGTACCTACTATGTGTCGAACGGTTGAAAAAAGATGACACTATTAAAGACAAAACACTTTCATATTGACTGGAAAAATCAACAAAATAAAATAGATAGATACCGAGAAAGATAGACAGATGGTTGTGTGGATAGATAGATAAATAGAAAGGTAATATGGTACATAGAGATAGTTTTCCGTAAAGTTTGTCTTTTGCCTATATACTTTTGCGTCCGCCTATAATGATATAAGTTCATATGTCTACAGTTTTAATCGTCGAACAGCGGTAGTTCCGTTCCACCCTGAATCTGTTTGTTCGCCACTGTTGCCACCACTGAATCCTTCACCGGTTAGAATAACAGCACCTGACGCATCAATCGATGAATTACTTTGAAGCTTAACACCCTGACCACATGTCGAGCTGCTTCCCCCGTTTACGTTGATAGATGATGAATCATTTACATGCATAAGTGATTGCTGTGGGACACTAGACACATGACATGTAGGATAGAAATGCATAAATTGACCGCCTAACTGACTGGGATCATCTTCACTAGCTCCACGACCAGAGTCAGCTGACTCAACGTCAAGTTCACAATGGATGTTTCCGTTTGGAATTCTTCTGTTGGATGTCGTATAGCAGCATCCCATCCCGTTACCAGTACCAATTAAAAGAGGCTTTACAAAATAAAACAAGGGAAAACTGATTAATGCATGTTGGGGATGTATATAATTATAATTTAGAGTAAAATGTTCGAAATTTCACAGCAATTTCATGCAACCAAAGTATGATATATTCTCACCTCATCTTATGCTTTACATATGAGCTTTTATGGTCCTCTGACATAATTTAAAGACTTCATAGTTTTCAGTTTGCGTAAGAGCAGACAAAGAACCGTGTATCAGTTTCTCCGATTGGTTGATAGATTGACCCAGTTTTTTTAAATGCTAAGCTTCTAAGAATTTGATGGTATTTGGCGTTTCTTCTGCCCAGTATCTCTGCATTTTCAAAATCTAATTCATGTCCGTAGTTGAACAGCTAAAGGAAAAGAAATGTCTTGACGCTTAACTACCGACTGATGTCCGTATAGACAACACAAAGCAGTTACTCTTTGGTTTCTCAACATAAGATCATGCCTGCAAAACTGACATGTAGTTCACGTACATTATGTTACATGAAATATATATATAGTCGACAGTGAGACAAAATAATTTTAGACTGGTCTACTACTGATGGAATCAGAAAGATACAAAGAGCATAAAGGGGCAAAATGTACGTAGTAAAACATAAAGCTTATTGTAGGCAAAATTACGTCTATAAATAAACTCACTCAGTAGTTGGAAGAAAGTAACCATGCCTCAAAGATATGACAATATCATTCACAAAATTGTCATTGAATTTGGGGGTTTGTGGGGATTTAGAGATGATGAATATCAACTTGACAAAATTATCAGCTGTTACAATTATTACTATTATTATCCCTTATTACATACTAAGGGACGATGTTCCATTTAAAAACTAAACATATGAGCGAAAACGAAACTGTTGCAGGTTACCGAGATGAGCTCAATCAGGGGGCAGATAATTCACTAGCCAATGTATACTTGGTAAAACCGAAAGGAGTTATTATAACACATGTAAATTATTGTTTGAAATAATATCTAATGCTGCCTTCCTCCCACCCCTCCCTTTTAAAAACCACGCCCTATTTAGTTATGTGCGAAAAAATTGCAATGATATAAACATCCAGGTTTATGGCAAACATCAATAGATTATGACACTCAGAATGATGTTTTACAACGTAACTCAGTTGACTATACAATTTTAAAAAGTCTACTGACAGGTGAAAATCCTTTTACGAGTTTGACGAATTTTGGCAATGGGCATCTTGATCAACCAACTCTTGAGACCTCAGAGCACCAAGATGTATGTCTACATTTTCTAATCTATGAACAATAAGAAACAGAACCCACAGGGAGAAATGATATTATGGTTATTTGGTTGGTTGTGGCTAGCAGAGGAATCCAGGATGCGCGTGATGAAAAGGTAACTCACTAATTACTGTCTCGCCTAACTGCTTTAGGTAGGGATAATTTTTATGATTACAACCTGAAATTTAGATTACGCACCAAATATATCATCTGGTGCTGTTATTATGAAAGTTAGAAATTAAGCGTCGATGAATTATTCAACATGAATGATAACCTCTCACAATGTATTTTTTTTCATGTTTTTATCGCAGTTTCATTTGGAAATAGTTTGTACAGGTTAAGCTAGTTGCAGAGTGAAATATTATCTATCTTTTTGCTATATATCCTTTGTTAAGTGACGATTCCATCTGACAGAGTATACTACTTAAATAAAATGACAACTTTCAGTTAAGTTATTTCGATCAACGAATTTAAGCAGGGAAACTACTCGAAAAGAAGTGAGTGAATACGGTAAGAGAGTTCAAGATACCTCTAATACATATTGTTAGTTATCGACTGAACAAACAAAGAACAACATATCTACTTTTTTTAAACACTTCAGTCAAGATATTTAAATTTAAAAAATGTCAGCCAACTAGTATAGTTGAAGGCGGAACCAATCAAAACTGAATGATTATATCAGCAATCTTTGTAAGCTATTACTACTGACTTTCGGGTACGAAGTAAGCGTCCATACCGACAAGTATCGAAGCAGAAAGTGAGTATGAAGTGTTTATTGTTCGCCAAAAAGAAGTTGCATACCAATTACATAACCCAAGGGAAAATATATGAGATGAAACTGTCACATTTAGTTTCCACATAGACGGAGTAATTGAGCACTAGAGCATTTTTATACAGCTGGTGACATCATGAAACTTTTTAACCTGTCATTCGAACCACAAGTAAAAATTCCTAAAAGTATACAGAAAATTGAGTTAGGAGATGAGCATGACAACCAGGAAAAACACTCGGTAAGTGAAGTTAAACTAAGAAACGGTGAGCAGATAAGTCCGCAATTCAGTTGACACAACACCGAGCCGGTGACATGGAGGTTGATGAGTCAAATCCCAAAGCGCTCAGTCTTTATTTCACCTCTAATCATCTCAATGTGTCATAAAAAGCTGGATTATTGAAAATCTGTCGGAAAAAAACGATTTCATAGCAATCCTCTTTAGCAGTCAACTTTTATCGGGAAATTACGAGTATCAAAAACAACAGCTGATACCCGTTACACAAGAGGTGGTTACCGCACCACAGTGGCCCAGTGGATAATGCTTTGGCGTTTGAAGCAATGAGTACTGGGTCCGAGTCTCAGTGGGGACACCATCACTCACTAGAGAGCAGGTACATCCAGCTGATGAGTCCCGAATAGGACGAAACTTGGACTTCCCTGCTAATCGCCAAGATGAACATAAAATTAAGTGCAAGTTAATCGGTCCATCTAAAAGGTTGAACCCTCTGCCGCTGTACACAATGCTCACAATACGGTTAAGTCATGATACTGAATAGTATAATGTATATGTTTCACTTAACGTTAATATCCGGTGGGTGATTCAAAATTTCTCCTCTCTATTCACATAAACCTTCATACCAAGCTTATACAATTCTGAGTAATGGACTAGGGAAAAATGTTTACAATGGTAAAAGCTCATAAGATCAAATGAACTTGGGAGTAATGTAATGTGAATGACCTTGTGCACATACACGGTTACAGGCAATTATGATAAATGTGGCATCATTAAGAAATTGGTTAAACATACTTCAACATTCAGTCATTAGTCTTGAATTTTGACAAAGCGGGTGAATTCACTGACAAAAGGATTGATTATAAATGACTATTGTTATTATTATTCTCTAGACTTTAGGACAACACTCGACCTTAGCAAGCGTAATTAACTGTTATAGATGGAGATTTTAGGGTGTTTTTGAAAAAGTTAGTATAATGGGATTAGGAATACACAATTGGAGAGACTCATTTCGTTACATTTTGCCTGAAATTGATAGAAAAGATGCCAGCTGATTACTGGTAAAAAGTCAGGTGAAGAAACACTGGTAAACACACCAGGGAGTGCAGATATTCGCAAAAGACACAGCTAGGCATGTATTACCAATCCTAAAATAACGTCTTGACTACACGAAATCTCCACCGTCATCATTAGGTACAATTCAAGTTGCCATAACCGTTTATTACTCAAACACACAAATGGTTATTGTATACGGGTAGTGGCAGAGAGGTTCTACATTTCTTGTTGCTATCTCTACCTTGTTACAATAACGGAGATGTCATGAATGAACACGAAATACATCAGTGAGCTCATCCAAAAAAAGAAATGTTGTTAAAGAACAAATCTTTATCAGGAAACAAAACTATCTTAAACTATCATCATCTCTGAGAGGTGGAACATGCAAGTACAGTTTGTTTACATTATTTGAAGACTGCTATTATTATCATATCAACTTAGCTCTTTTGCCTGGCAGTGTGAATGGGTATCTGAATTGTGTCAGTGTTTTCAGGCGGAAGAACTAGTGTCATCACAGGGTAGAACTACAAAATCTAACTACCAACTACCTTTACGATAACTAAATTTGACTGAGTACCCAATTATTGCATTAGTACGTCACCCGGATTAACTCAACAAGGGGAAAGTCAGTTATAGGACCACAGCACAGATGGGAACTATAAAATGACTGTACGGGATGTCAATCGGTTAGACTGCACCTCTGAAGAATACAGACCTGGTTAACCGGTGACTGCCTATATAATATCGATAGCGGTAACTAGTGCCGCTGCTGCTAGACATGCATAACCTCGGAATGCACATCCCTAATAGTCGCAAATCGTTATTAAATCCAAACAGTTCCTTTCAACATGTTGAAGACTAGGTTGCTGGATTGACAGAGTTGATAATCTGAAGTCCTGCTACTTCATAAACTTTCAACCAACTTCCATTCATTATGGGTGCACACAATTGTTTGTTTAAAAAATATTTAAAGTTCATCATTTCCAAAAAACTTTTTGTTATATACCATTAAAAAGCTAGACAAAACGAAGGCAGTTAAAAGGTAGAACTCGCCACACTGATGAGACATCCTTCCAGACAAACACACACATATGAAGGTGTACAGATACCTATAGAAGAAAACTGTTTATCTGATTTCTTCCTGTGCATACCTTAAATGTCAAATGTAAATGCCTCATTGTTTCTCCATATTGAAATATACAAGCTTGGATAATCCGATATATAAAACACACCAGAACATTTTACTTTTCCATTGGTTGTTCAGTTTTCAGTTTTTTACCGTGCAGCGAAAATGCATGCTTCAAACTCTATTCGTTCACTGTCTCTCTCTCTCTCTACCTTTTCCTTTGTCTTTGTCACTGTCTACGATATTGGCATACATGTGACAAATTCCAACTTAAAATGACTAATGTTTACAAACTTTAGTCGAAAATTTTACCTATCTCAGATACATGTATTCTTTCAGATTAAGTACACATACATGTAAGTGTAAAATTCTATGACAGGTAACAGACAAAAAGAGTTTTGTAAATCCTTGTTCATTTGTGGACAGTTCTGTGTTTACATGCGCACAATATAGTACCTACAAAACATGTGCACATATATATGTAAATGTTAAATAATTGTGAACTAGGCCACCAAATCGGTTGGTGGGTTTCA